AGACAAATCACTGGAACTTCCGCAGGACAAGCGAAATTTGCAAAAGTTCCGCACTATTTTGTTCACTACTGCAAAAACGAGAATGTTGAAAATCGGAATTTCCGCGGGATTTTTATGCCAAACTGATTGAAAACCGGAACTTCCGCAGAACCTTCTTCAAAATCTTGCAGAAATTCCGAGAAATGCCAAGAGTTCCGCAGCACTTTGGTCTGCCAGAACTTCCGCAGGATTTTGAATTGTTGTCTCGTGATGTTGCCTCGCCAACAACTAGAGTGCATTATCGAACATGTCAGCCGTAGCATAGGATAGTAGGTGGGTCTCACAGTCAGCAGAGTAAGGTTCCAATCTCGCTTCGGTGTTCTCTTTTGCTGTTGTGACTGGCATTCTCCGGAACTTCCGCAGCACATTTGAACCTCCGCAGGTGACCCGGCGGAACTTCCGCAAGCGCGAAGTCCCGGTCAGGAGGCCAAACTCGCGTTTTCTTGCAAGCGGTCAATAAAATTTTGGGGCGTGACTGAACCTCCAGCTCAGATAATCGCCAGGGGCAGGCGGTCCGCAAACTCGCGCCTTTCTGCAAGCTGTCAGCAGAATTTTGGGGCGTGGCCAAACCTTCAGCGAGCGGTACTTCCTTTACTGTCTAATGTTCTGCGAGCGGGCAGCAACACAGAATTTTCTGCAGCGCTCGTCAAATAATATCTTTCAGCGAGCGCTGATCAAATTTTCAACTGGCGCTCGGACGGTTTTTAAGCAGTTTCGGGCGTACGCCAAGCAAAGGTGGGACTCTACATGGCAGAGGTGTCATAGATGGTTCAATTTCCTCTCACTGGAAGGTACCTCAAGCTGCGCGATCCTTCACAAAGGATCGTGCGGCCCTCAACAATTTTGTATATTCTCGGAACGTTTGCGGAACGTTTGCGAGAATGCGGCCCTGTGGTGCAACAACTAATCTATGCAAAAACAGCTATTATTTTCTAAGCGTTTCAAAACGTGGCCAACACTTTTCCAATTTCCTGCAAGCCCGCAAAAGATCAGGATCTATATTTCCGGTGCCCGCTTGCCTATAAATCGCATGGCCGCCTACATCCTGCATTTTCTGAGCTACTGACTTTGACCACTTACAAGTATTAGCCGCTGTTCCACGGTTAGTGCAGACGTACGAAAAAAACTGATGATCGCTGACTGTGTAGATAATTTAGACGAAGTGTAGAAATATTAGGATTTCCATTTCTCGGATGAACTTGTATTGGATGAAAGCGAGTAAAGTTGCCTCTACAAGCGGCTAGCGGCGGCTACCGGCGAGATATAAAGGCACCCTACTTTGCGTTATCTGCTCTCCGAGGAACGGAACTTGCATACCCCGAAAGATCTGCCGCCATATAGCTATGTCATGAGGTCAGCAACGTTGATTTGCACCCAATTTGCACCGAAGACGAACTTGTAACTCTGCCATCATCCTGCATTAATGAAACCGGGATTCTATCAAGATGAACTCGGAGGTCACTGATAAAGTTAGTCCAGTCAGGGTAAAAAATTTTTGTTTAGGGGGTATTCTGTCGTGCTGATTCCGAATATGATGGTTTGTAGTTTTATAGTTTTGCTTGAAACCTTGAAATATTTATCTTTTGTTTATCTTTTTTATCTTTTGTTTATCTTATCTTTCAGATTTTAAAGAAACTAAAATTTCGAAAAGAAAGAATTTCGAAGTTTCAATCAACAACGTAGTAAGGAACAGCATCAAAAAACCCTTGAATAGTATCCTCGAAATTTTTGTCGGAAAATTTGTGCAAGTTTAAAATTTGAAAAGATAGAAATCCAAAATTTCAAGCAAAACCACCATCATATTCGGAATCAGCATGACAATTTTCCCCTAGATACAAGTTTTTTACCCTAACTTGAACCACCTCGCTACTGAACTTTAATCGAAATCGCAATAAATTCCGATTCCATAGAGTGTAAAATGTTAGTTATAGTTGTTATAGTGTGCAAAATCAGCTCTCCTCGATGCAGACTATACTTGGGTAATTCGATAATTTTTCATCGAATGAATGAATATCGAATAAATTCGAAAATAAAAAATCTCGAATAAACGAATATCGAATAATTTCGTAAAATCAAAAATATCGAATGAATGAATTTCGAATAAATTCGGAAAATCAAAAATATCGAATGAATGAATTTCGAATAAATTCGGAAAATCAAAAATATCGAGTGAATGAATATCGAATATATTCGAACATTGGAAGTCGAATTTCGAATAAATATTCGAATGATTTATCGAATAACTAAAGCAATCACATCTCAAACTTGCCGACATATCTGGCCAAAGCCGATCCAATTATAATCGGCCCCCTAGTATCCCCTATACCAACTCCTAGCTCAAGATTTTTCAAAAATCGGTGAAATCAATGATAAATTTTATTCTTAATCAGCGCCCTCATTTACCCCTCTACTAACTCCCAGCCCCGCAGCTCAAACTTCTCCAAAAATTGATAAAATCGATAAAGTAAATTTTATCCATAATCCGTGAAGGTGCACCAGCCAGCTTTGAGCGGTCGCGCGCGTCGTGTAAGCGGCTGCACTTCGTGATCCTTGCGCGTTATGCACCGCACGGGTAAGATCCGCATTTATACACCTTGATCCTGCGGCTTTGTCGACAGCAGACCTTATTTGTCAGGCTTCCACTGGATTTCAAAGACGTTTAGCAGAGTATAGATAAAATTGGCTGGAGCTAAAATTTAAAAATGAGAAACATTGCAACTTGGTGTAAGCACCTAACGAGCTGTTCGGATTCATAGATCTAGGTGTGCGATCTTTTGAAGCAATAAGGTGGCCACATATGTATTTAAATTCCACAATGCTACGATACATTGCTTGTTCATCGGAGACTTTCGTCTTGTATGGTATACGCTAGTCGTAGACGAAGGCATGTGGTTTCCTCCACAAAGCGAGCACGAATGCCCCTATAACCCTGGGCATACTGCAGGCATTTCAGTGGTGACGTTGTATGGCAATACTCAAATTATCCAAAACCTATTCTGAAAGTACAGAATGCAGGGCATCTATCATTTTAGTATGTTGTACACGCTAAACATTTGTGGTAAACTGCCATTACATCTGAAGACATCTCGTAACTGGCAAATCGCGTACGGCGATCTAAACCGTCTAATCCTGCACCACAACTGCGATGTCCTTTACTCAGTATACACCAATTCGCAAGAAACTCCAAGGTAACGAATAGGCAGTTTTGAAATTATTTATGCGAGCAAGATTGCTCACTAGTGTGGGCTTTGCGTGCAAGCATGAGCAATGCAAAAAAAGAAGAACAGCCACTTCAATTCAGTATGAACTCAGAACATGAGCTTGAATTTGATATCTTCTTTGCTGATTTGGTGCCAATAGCAGTGCAAACAATCTCACTGATCGAAAAAACATCAATTAAACTTATGATTTTTTTTACTGTCGCAAGCAGCCGGAAGAATGCGACTCTCCATACAGTTCAAAGGTATACCGGTGGCAAAAGATGCATTACCGAGTTTTGCGAAGAAAAAATAACGCGGACGAAGTGAGCTTGATACCCAGCATTTGTCTCTGCAACAAAGTCGAATAATCTGAATACGGAGTACATTCGAATACGAATTCGAATAAACATTCGAATAAAACATTCGAATAAAATCTATTCGAAACCCTGTTTTTTGATTATTCGAGTTTTCGAATAATATTCGAAACCTCGTTTTTTGATTATTCGAGTTTTCGAATAATATTCGAAACCCTGTTTTTTGATTATTCGAGTTTCGAATTTTATTCGAAACCCCGCTTTCTCAATTATTCGAGTTTCGAATATTATTCGAAAATGGAAGAACTCCGATTATCGAATTTAGAATACGAATATATTCGAATGTTTTATTCGAATGATCGAATTTCTATTCGATTCGGACTCAAGTATAATGCAGACCGGGTGCAAATTAGCGTCGCTGCCACCAGCCTGACCTCTCATAAACTCTGCTAACTACGTGGCGGCAAGTTTTCAAAGTATGTATCGTGGAGTCATTGGTAACTTGATATGCGTACTGCACACCATGTGCGCTATCATGAACTCCGAAATTAGAACCTCCTCATTTCCAGTGATTTCTCTTTGTTTCACTGTCCCTTTTGTTTCTCTTGGATATATGTTAGCTACTAGAACACAATTTACGGTTTTCTTAGGCTAGAAAAGGTTTCACTGAAAAATTGCTAGTAAAGGTGCCGTCGCTTGTTGAGCACAGTGTGCATTTTCAAAGATTAAATTACAGATGACTCGAGGATAAGTCCCCTCACCCCTGCTCTCCTACTATTAGTTCTTTTTTGAAAATACTTTATGAATCAAATAATTTTTTGTGCATTTGAGTCAAGAAAGTGTTGACTCTTCGTGATAATTCTACTATACGCGCTCATTTGAAGCTAAGGCCCTTGTTCTTGTTTTGATCATGGCGTATTTTCAGACGTACTCCAGTCTTGTATCTATTCTAACTAACACACAGGTCAAGCACACTTTTCTGTGAATGCAAAGCCTGAGCATCCCTGTTGTGATTAGCGCCAAAACCATTCTTGGCTGGAATTGTTCACACAGCTTCCGAATCGAAATCTTGTCAGTGCCTTAGTTATACCAGTCCCAACGAACCCTTTAGGCTCCCGCCAGAGTGCGGAAGCCACGCCAGCGCTGCGCCGGCGCCGAGCCAGCGCCGAGCTGCCCCGGCGCTGTTTCGATCGATACACGTGCATTTCGTTGGGGCGGGGCTAGCTGACCTAGTTCTCAGCCAGGTAGATGCACCAACTAATGATCGAATCTGCCAAAAGCTCCGGTAGCCCTTGCCCGCACAGGATCAGCTAGCCCCGCCCCGAACAAATGGGACAGCTCAGCGCTGACGTGGCTTCGACACTCTGGCGGGGGCCTTACAAAAAGAATAAATTCATAAAAGATCTGAAGTGTCAAGTGTTCTGAAGACGCAATGTCAGTCTTATAGGTACAAGATAATATGCTCTCCGTCATACAAAAGTTCCTCACAAACGCACCACCTGGATGTGATGTCGAAATCAGCGTTAAATGTAAGTTGCTCCTTGCGTTCCAGTTTGCAAGTTGCAGTTCCAGTTGCTCCAATCCAAGCGTCCCTTTTTGTGCTTCTTCAAGCAATTCTGTTCAAAACCTTCAAGATGGTATATGTAGACAGATCCTTTTCAGACAATCTTGCTAAAGAAGGGCAGCAGGTGCAAGCATATACAACTACTATGAAGACAATGGAACCAGTTTCAAGCAAGTGCGATAACTTATTTACCAAAGTTCATGTCATGGGCAAGTAGTTCTAGGCTAGCGAGTCTCGTCTGTCCTCATGGTCGCCTTCGTCATCCCCAAATGTTGCTAAATCTTTCGAAAACTGGTTATGCAAATTAATCTTTGCTTCAATCTTCTGTACAAAAACAACTGTAACTTTTGGTATGCGGCTTTAACCTTTGGTGCGGAGTAAAAATTATTTAATGTTGCGATGTGTATAGGCTATATCACCCAGCATCGGTCGTAAGACCCTATGAGCTGATGCGGCGCGCGCGCGACGCAGGCAGCGAAAATGGTGCGGGAGTGCGAAGGTGTATGTTGTTTGGATCTGTCATGGCTCGCCTCATCTCTCTTTTCAACGTTATTGTTCGTACATATATTAGACCTTCATTCTTAAGTTAATCTTGTTTGCGAGTAGATTACATAAGGTTTTTTATAGTCTATAGATGAAAAATTCATCAGCACCCACGCGACTACTCTTTTCCCTATGGCTAACATAACAGACAATGCTTGATTTGTGTATTCATGTGACACTGTGACCATATTTTGTTTCTAACTAAAAGATCATAAGTGTAAAGAATGGTTGGCAAACGTGGTTTAGTAATCTAGAATATGTTTTATCCGATATTTGAACAGTAAACATACCATTTGTGGTTAAGCGTGCTACTGTACACAGCGTTTGCAAGTCTTATTCTCAAAGTAGACGACCATTTTCAAACTTTTAAAACTATACACTTTCTACTCGAATACTCATCATGCAATGGGAGTGCCATCAACTTAATTGTCCTACGTTATTGAGATAAGAACTCCAAACGAAACTGAATGTTTAGGAAGAAGACAGAACATGAATAAGAAAGGGAGCGTTCAAATGCCTGAGCAAAAGACTAGCTTCTGCGTCAGTTGCTATTTCCGCCTCATGCGCCGCACGCGCGATGCCTCATTTGCTGAGTTCCAACCGATGGTGAATGATATAGCTAGTCTGCTGGAGGGTTGCTGCTTGTGTAACAAAAGGAAATGAGACTTGAATGCTTTGGAAAGCACCCACGTGAGAAGGTTGCTGCTTTCAATTCAGTACAGAGAGGCAGTGCGGACCGAAGAGGAGCGGAAGGGAGCGTCTACCCACCCCTCCTTCCCCGAGAATTGGTCGCAAACTTTTCAGAAGTGGGCTCCTTGAGTTATAAAAATGCGCAAGCGATTGTTCTTCTTGTAAAAAAATTTGATGATTCTTGAAATTTTTTGAGGTAACAGCCTTGTGGTTTTGATTTTTTTTGTGGCGAGGATGCATTTAAAGGGCATCCAAAAAAATTTGTCGAGCTGACACCACTGCCCCTTCATTTTTGTCGAGACTGTCACCAGGGCCCGTAGTAATCCACCCTACCTGCCGGCATCTCATGCCCGTAGCTCGCCCTGATGTGGACTTGAGGTCCCTAAAATCTCAAACCTCCTCCGGAGACCGCCAAGCCAGGCTGATCATCTATTTTTGTGTTACGGTGTAGTTTTGGCTGTCGAAATAATACGGCAATTAAAAGCAAATCCAAAAAATGTGCTCGTTTGCCATTCATTTGGCCCAAAGTGTGAACCTGCCGGCAGGATCACGATCTCTTTTCGTCGAAATTTGAGATGCCATCTCGCCCTCAGCCTGCCGGCAGGTCAGAGAGTGCACGAAATAGTGTGTTTTTAAAAGAGTGCAACCTGCCGGCATGTGGACGTGCCCCTACCACTTCCACTCAGACAATCGCCGGGGGCAGGCGGGCACCGGAAAAATAGATTGCTGATCTCTCGCACTCCGCTCGCGGATTTTTTGGAGAGCAATCAGGACTTTTCGGAAGACCGCTTGCTGAGTTCTCGATTCCTCAGAGATTCAGCAATATATCTGCAAAAGATAAGAGCGAAAAAAAATTCAACAAGCGGTCTCTCAAAAATCCGCTGACTCAGCAAGCGGTCTTCCGAAAAGTTCTGATTGCTTTGCAAAAAATCCGCGAGCGGGGTGCGAGAAATCAGCAATCTATTTTTCCGGTGCCCGCCTGCCCCCGATTGTCTGAGCAGATGCCGGCACCTTTGCGAAATTGCGTCGCGCGGCAATATCACACAATTTACGTAGCAGAAGAACCAAAAAAATTCATTTTTTATCGAAAAACTATCATTTTTGCCATCATATGGGTTTTTCTCCTCCAAATTGATGGTATGTATGCACAAGAAACGACTAATGATATCATGATACGATAAAGAACGCCATTTTCATTTTGCAGTTGCTTCAAATCTCATTTGCGACGATTTCGGCTCTTGCTCGCTCTTATCAATCAGCTGTTTTTCCAGGTCAGCGTCTATCACGCAATGTATTGATCATGCTCACATACAGGCGCTCACTACTTAGGCAACGTTTCTATAATTGCTGCCGCAGACAGCAGCAATTGAACGAGTGGTCGAATGGTTAGTGTGCGGTGCATGAGGTTGACGCACGCAGGTTCGGACCCGCGCGATGTCGATGTTTTGCGGCTATCAGCGGCACCAAAATTTCATGTGCGAAAAATTAAACTAACGAAAAACTAAACGAAGAGAAAACTAATCAAAAAACGAGAATCTAAAGCAAGATTTAGCTTACGCCCGAAACACGAACATGCCGCGAGGTTCGCGAACTTGCCGGCATCGTTGATGCCACCTGGTAGGGTAGATTACTACAGGCCCAGGCGCCTTCCATTTGTCGTGGCTGACATCACACCCCTTATTCGAGAAAAATTTGTAGGGTCACTTGTATGCATGCCCTTCAAGTTGCTGCCGATTATTTGACCAAAACAAAACGTTAGAAATGTTGTCCATAACTTTTCGACCACCCTAAAATTTGTTGATGTTTGAAACGATTCCAAGTTCTTCTTAAGAGTCGCTGAGAAACTCTCTGCTCGCCTTTCGCAAGTCTATTGTATTCGCGAGTCTTAAGATACGAATAAAACCAAACTCAGCATTAATCGGCTTAGTTGAAGGCACCGTCACCCCAAAGTAAGCGTCTTGCGCTTTTGACAGCATACATTATTAGGATCCCTATCAAGTGCTCAAGTCGCGGTACAAAATGTCGCTTCGAGTGCGAGGAAAACGCTCTGGAATAATGAAGAAGCACGAGGTCCCTTAGACGGCACCCCCCCCCCCCCTTCAATTGCCCGCTCGTCCGTGCTCACCCATCCAATCACCGTTCAGATAACCGCATAGCGGGTGCTCCGGAACGGCGATTGTCTAGGTTTTCACATATCATCGACTTCTTATTCGGAATAGGATCATAAAGCCCCGGAACGACAAAAACATAGAAGTCGAGAATGTGGACGGTGCCTTTGAGTATAGTCTCAATGCACTCGACAAATGTGACGTTTCGTCGAAACATAACGTACCCTCTGTATAACTGGGAGTGATGGGTTTTGGGTGGGGCTCGGTCGCGCGGGGCTCTTTGCATCTCTTTTGCGAGCGTGATCTCTAATCTTTTTTAAACCATGACCGTGGGAGGGGCGGAGCCGAACGCTAACTTGCCTGAGAAAATTATTAGAGAGCGATAAACCCCAACTTTCGACTTGTATTTTCATGAATTTAACACATCATTTGTTATAATCAGAAAGCTGCTTACAAGGGAATGGTCAGAAGTCGAAGTGGCCAGTCCATACAAGCTGCATGCCATTAGATGCAGCATGAAACGCTGACTCTATATCTGCCTTCCATATCTGCAGAGCGCTTTTGTGGACGAAATTATAAGCCGTTAAAGGCCATTATTTTGCTGAGAAATTGAACGTGTTAAGTGCAGAATTGGCAAGCCATTCTCGGCTCAGTGTTGGACCAAAACATGCAACTAGGCTGTACTAAGCAATACGAGCTGAAAGAGCAATAATGTGCTCAATTTGGCAATTTTTGTACGCAATTTTTTCGCATCAAAGCTGCTCATAACTTCGCCTACAAAGGCGCTCTGCAGATATGGAAGACAGATTTGAAATCAGCATTTTATGGTACATCGAATGGTATGCAGCTTGTATGGATTGGCCACTTCGATTTTTGACCATTCCCTTGTTAGCTCTGTTGAGTAGGATGATCACCATAACTTTCGAATGTTTTAATCATTTTCGATAAAGAAAAATGACATTGAAGAAAAGCCGGTCGGTCGCCGTGGATTAGGAGGGGATCATAGAAAACGCTGGAATATGCGACCTGTACAACTTCCCACTCCTGTTTAAAATGTTCATGGTATAGAGTAGTAGAAACACTTGCAGACAGTTGACCGCGTGAGATACAGAACATTGCAACTTTGAGATGGAAGCTTTATTTCAAGCTGCGTTCCCCCCACGGTGGGGTGATGATGTATGTGGTCCCTGCTCGCCATCGCTTCTTCCTTTCCTGCCCCTGTCGCCTCGGGTCATTTTTACTCACAAACCATTATGTTTTCTAAGGCCGCATGCATTAAATTCAGTGTCCGGGCAAAAATCGATTTTGAGATTTTGTGCTTATCCAGGCCTATTCGCTATGCTGAATCCGAAAATCCACACTGGAGAGCGCGAAAACGACAAAAAAGGGCTCTAAGCAGGAGGGAAATTAGCAAGTGAGCAGGGTTTTCCCCACTGTGAACTCACGGTTCCGGCTTCCGAAGCGATCTTCTCGGTTCCGCTAGCCGCCCTGACATCGCTATAGGCCAAGTTCGAGAACGCGTGCCTCGAAACCGGAACCGAGAAGATCGGTCGGGGGCTGGGGCCGTGAATTCACAGTGAGGAAGATCCCGCCCAGTTCTAACTTCCCTCCTGCGTTAGAGCCCTTTTTCGCCATTTTCGCGCTCTCCAGTGTGGATTTTCGGATTCAGCATAGCGAATAGGCCCGGATAAGCATAAAATCTTGAAATCGACTTTTTGCCCGGACACTGCCTTTAACATCCCTACTGGTAGGGGACTGCAGCTAATAGAAAGCTTCATATCCTGAAGCTCAAAATATCTGGATTTCACAGGTCTATCTATCAGTAAACATTCCCACCATTCTTCACTATGAACATATTGAACGGAAGCAAGAAGCTGTATAAGCCGCATCTTCTAACCTATTGTATGATCCCTGATGATCCCGGCGGTCTACCGTCTTTTCTTTGAGTCATTTTTCTTTCTTCGAAGTTAATGAAAACATTTCAAAATTGTACTGATTATCTAACGCAACAGTGCTGAGCATGTTGCTGATAAAAACAAATGATGTGTTGGAGTCATGAGATTTTCGATGAACCACAAGTGAAAGTTAGGGTTTATCGAAAAATTCGATAATTCAAAAACTTATTTGTTCGTGCATTGGTCGGCTGTCCCTGATCAATAGAAGAAGGAAAGGCTTAGAATTATTTCATTCTTCTCAAATTTCAACTGCTTGACTTTTACTACAATTCTTGTTATACTGACAAAACTTTGGAGTTTGAAGATCGTGCTTTTGCGTGGTGCGGATTTAAGATTGCCGGGAAGCGCCTTTCGACATACACTCGAACCTAAGGTTAACGAGTCCAACTGCTCAGATAATCGCCGGGGGCAGGCGGTGCTCGCGCTTTTCTGCAAGAGATCAGCAGGATTTTGGGGCGTGGCCAAACCTTCAGCGAGCGGTACTTCCTTTACTATCTAATGTTCTGCCTGCAGGCGCTCGTCAAATAATCTCTTTCAGCAAAGCTGGCCGAACTTTCAGCAAGCGCTCGTACTCTTTTTACGCAGTTTCGGGCACGTCGACACAGGTAAGACTCTGCGTGGCAGAGGCGTCACCGATGGTTTAATTACTCAAGTTTGAGGTACTTTCTCTCAATGGAAAGTACCTGGGGGCTGCACGGTCCTTCACAAATGACCGTGCGGCCCTCGAAAATTTTGCGTTTTCGCTAGAATGCGGCCACTGCGCCGCAGCTAATCTATAAGGAAATCGCGATTGTTCTCCAAGCATTCGTCCAAAATTCGCTGAAATTCTTCCAAATATTTGCAAGCGGACCGCAAGAAATCAGCGAACTATTTTTCCGGTGCCCGCCTGCCCTCGACGATTATCTGAGTAGTTGACCTTACCGCCATTTGTGGTATCAAACTAATTTGTTGACTTCAATTCAACTTGCTTTATTTCAGGCTTCGCAACGCGGATTCTTCAGGGTATTGTTTACTGCGATAATTACACGTACGTTTGATTATTTTTTCAGTTCAACAACACTTTTGGTGCGAAAACTAAGATCAGAGGAGCGTGTTCCCATAAAGGGAGCAGTGCCAGTTCTTTCTCCAAAGAAAATTCAGGAGGTGAGTTTTTGAGACTATGGTAGCGAATGAGTCTCCCCTTTGGGTGCATTTTAACAGAGTAAAGGTTTGAGGATGTCTCGCGTTAATCTAACATAAAATGACAGTGATTTTATCCAATTGGTCAAGTCGATGCTTTCTTGCTTACATGTAAGCGGGGACTCAACACTTGGGAGGGTACGAACAAGAAACGTACCCGCCGCTAATGGTAGGCTGATTGAGTCTTGCTCAGATGACCTGCCGCGATGACTACACTCTGTATAAGGCCCTCACTCAGCTATGTAGACTCCCAGCGTCTCTAAAGGCTCTTTGAATTGTCGACACATGTGAACTAATTAACAGCTCTGCACTACCATGACTATGCCTCGCTTTGAAACACATCTATCATACAAGACGTAAACTCCATTATGTAAATATCATACTTCAGATACTGTAGGAGCCGCAGCCTGCGGCTTACCTCATCAGTCATCAATGCACAACACCTTCGTAGCACTATACAACTATAAATGCTGGAAGCTGAGAACACGTCTGTATGAACGTTTATTGCAAGACTGCTGATCTTATCCGCCGACCCCGCTTGACCCGTACTCAGATAATCGCGGTGGGCAGGCGGTCCGCAGACTCGCGTTTTCTTGCAGGCTGTCAGCAGAATTTTGAGACGTGGCCAAACCTTCAGCGGGCGATACCTCCTTTACTGTCGAATGTCCTGCTAGGGGGGAATATAGAGTTTTCTGCGGGCGCTCGTCAAATAATGGCCCGTAGTAAAGCTGCTTCATTCGATCTCAGCTGAATAAAATTTCAGTTGAGGCTTCGAAGAGTCAGCTTGCCTTCAGTCGAGCCATTGATTGATATTGCCAACCACTCACGATGATAAGATTGAGAGCGCCACGTCCATGCAAGTATACAAGTCAAGACGAGCTTGCCAAACAATCACATCTACATCATTGGCACTAGCGACGGGGATGTGGCCGCACTTGTTGGATCTTGTTAAGTCTCGTCACCATCACTGTGGCTCCTCACCGACAAGTTAAACTGATGTGTATCGTAAGTTACGCAGGAGTAACTTACGAGAAGTTTCTCTGCGTACCATTATTGACACACGATTTAAATCAATTGGTAGTCTAACTGAATGTGGACTGACTGAAGTAATGTAGACTACCTCGTCAGGTAGACGGACGGTCAGCTGAAATTTCATTTTGCATTCTTACTACATGGGAAGCTGGTGATAGGCAGTCTACCTTACCGAATCTTGGATGAGGGCCTCAGTTCGGTTCACCTGAACTGAATTAGCTTTACTACGGGCCAATCTCTTTCATCGAGCGCTGGCCAAACTTTCAGCAGGCGCTCGTTGAAAGAGATTATTTGACTCTTTTTAAGCAGTTTAAGGCGTACGTCGAGCAAATGTGAGACTCTATGCTGCAGAGGTGTCATCGATGATTTAATTACTCGAGTTTGAGGTACTTTCTCTTAGCGGAAAGTACCTGAGGGCTGTGCGGTCCTCTACAAAGGACCGCGCGGCCCTCAAAAATTTTGCATATTCTCGCGGAAAGTCCGCGAGAATGCGGCCAATGCGCGCAACTAATCTATAGAAAAACCGCGATAGTTCTCCGAGCATTTGTCTGAAAATTGGTCAACATTCCTTCAAATTTCTGCAAGCGGGCCGCAAGAAATCAGTGAACTATCTTTCCGGTGCCTGCTTGCCCAAAATTCGCATGGCCGCCTGCCCCCCGCGATTATCTGAGTACCCGCCCAACGATTATAGGGTCCGGCCAAACAATAACTCAGATAATTGCCGGGGGCAGGCGGCCATGTGATTATTGGCGGGCGGCGGGCATCGGAAAAATAGTTCGCTGATTTCTTGCGGTCCGCTTGCAGATATGTGGAAGAATATTAGCGAAATTTTAAACGGATGCTTGAAGAACAATCGCGGTTTCCTTATAGATTAGCTGCGGCGCAGTGGCCGCATTCTCGCGGACTTTCCGCGAGAATATGCAAAATTTTTGAGGGCAGCACGGTCTTTTGTGGAGGACCGCGCAGCCCCCAGCTACTTTCCGCTGAGAAAAAGTACCTCAAACTTGAGTAATTAAACCAACGGTGACACCTCTGCCACACAGAGTAGTCTTACCTCTGCTCGACTGCCCGAAACTGCGTAAAAGGAGTCCAAGCGCCTAAAGCTCGGCCAGCGTTTGCAGAAAGAGATTATTTGACGAGCGCCTGCAGAGAATTCTGTGTTGCTGCCCGCTGGCAGAACATTAGACAGTAAAGGAAGTACCGCTCGTTGAAGGTTTGGCCACGCCCCAAGACTCTGCTGACCGCTTGCAGAAAAGCGCGAGTTTGCGGACCGCCTGCCCCCGGCGATTTTCTGAGAAGTAACCGAAGAACCTCAGAGGTGTCCACCGTCATCCCAAAAAATTACTCGATAATTTTATACAATGGGATAAGCGCTAACCGGTCCAGGTGTTACTGCAGGCCACCGAGTTATTTGTCCAAGGTTGCTCCAGGTAGCTCATGTCAAGCCGGAGCATCAGAGGTTACCAAAGCGGCGCTGCCGTCCTTAGGTTGCGCTCAGACTGATCCAGAATTCCGGCACAATCCCAGACAACGCTCAAACTGTGCTGTTGGATCGCTTGCTAGAATTGTGCCGAAACTTCCGCAACAATGAACGCAGCCTTAGCATGAGCCCTCCTGACGTCGATAGTTTGCGTTGGCGCTCACTAGTAGGACCTAGGATCATCGTTTTGGGACCCTTTTTTGTTCGGCGACCGCCAGATATGAAGATCTAGAATGAAGAGATCGAATAACGCTAGATAAGAGGATCTCGCTGGTCCGTTAGATATCAGGTTGTTTGAGTGTTTGCTAACACCCCTAAGAACAACCTATGTTTTCCAGGTTTTATCTTCTTTCAAAATGAGCTTCGTATCCTAGAAGGTGGTTTCCAAATGACAATCCTGGCCCAACATTTCAACGCATTTGTTCCTTGAGGTCTAAAAATGTTCAAAAATGCCACCCTCAATTACACCATCAAACATTGCCGCCTCCAAACTAGCTAGTTTTGCTCTTCTGCCAACTATCTTATATGGCAAATTTGTAAAAAGAGATAATACCGCTCAAATCTACCAGCTGCTAGCTGCTATAGCTGAAAGAAGGCAAACTACAGGGTTGGGGGAAAGTCTTTGAACACGGTATTTTTAACGTAATGATGAAGCTGAGCAAGATGGTTACATGAAATTAACAGGTAATGTTTACTTAACTGTCTGCTACACAGAACTGGCTTTTCAATTTGAAGATTCTTTCTCTGAAGCGAGCACAAGCTCGGAAACGCTTGGGAACGCTGTCCATGGTGGCACGGAGGTGTTTCACGTCGATTTCTTCCAACGCCTTCTAAAGAGCAAGTCGCAGGGACTCCACTATCTTGCGTGGGTGAGCGCAGGCTTTGGCCTAAAGAACTGACCAGACGCTATAGTCAAGGGGATTAGGAGTAGTGAAGACCTTAAAGTTGCTTTGGAGCCAAGTTTGAACAACCTTCGCTGTTTGCGCCGGTGCGGTACCTGCTGGAAGCACCAATTTTTCCCTGCAAAACGGATATTGGTCTAGGGCATCAGTTGCTTCTTCAGAATGCAATCCAACTACGTAGCAGCGTGCATCTCGATGCCCTGAGGCGCTAAGATCAGTGGTATGTTGCCGCCGGAAGTGATCGCCACCCAAACCATCAGAAAAGCCGGATGAGGCTCTCCTTTGGCGAGTCAATCCCTGCTGATGGCTTCTCAGAGCGATCAAGATATGGTTCTGGTGTTTTGGAAATTGAAAACCTTTTTACGATAAAAATTTTATTTAGAAAAGAGTGCCGTTCTGTGACGTGCCTTGGAGAGACGTTCAAGCAGTCGATGGCATCTGCGCAATCAGTTCAGCTTTGTGCCCTCTCAAAAAGCATGAAATTTTAGCATCCTAAAAAGCTTCATCACAAGGCCTTCTTTTACGATGTCGAAGACTGTCCTGTCAAAGATGGATCCAGCTCCGAAGCCAGCTCAATCAAGCTTCGCGGAGGATTGCGACGAAGGCGTTGGCGAACGATTTTCAGAATTTTGTTACTGTCCGCAGTAGCCAATTTACCACTCATACAACAGTTCTGGGTGCTGTTCGTATCCGGGAAACGAAGTAAGGTGGAAAAGGCGCAGATTTGTAAAATTTGGGGGACCCGCGCGATCTGCTGATTAGCCATCCTCTCCTCGTGCATCTTCCTTATCAACGCTCGCTCCATTCCAGAAGGCATATCTCCGATAGGAAAAAAGCTAATAGTCCAGTTTTCTAAGAGCTTGTACTCAAGAGTATGAGAAGCAAACACATATAATTAGCATACAAAGATTTGTGGAAAAGCCGAACATACAAGGACATCAAAGATTGTTCAAGGATTTTCCCCCAAACCTGTAGGTAATTCAAGGCAAGCATGATGGTGTAGATAAATACTAGAATAACATGGAAATTGAACTGATGCCAGATTTCTAGAGAAGATGAAGGCGTCTAAATGTTGAGGCCACGACCGGCTGATAAGGGAGACCACCCAGCAAAACCTGTGCGACAAAGAAGTCATTGAAATCTGTAGATGATATTCACAACATTACTGTTGAATTAGCTCATGCAGAATGCATCAAACTATTCTCTATCGTCGGAGACAAAGCTTTGGTGAGCCTAGACTGTGGGTGCATTCGTTTGCTAGGCACTCTTGAGGCGCGACATTAAGGAAAAATTAGTGATGGTAGAGAGTGAAAAGAAGAAAACTTTGCGTAAAAAACTATCGACCATTTTTTCACTCTGTATTATTCTAGGATACGTCAAGATACGAAAATCTACCCGAAGGCAGGAAGGTAGTGCCACATGAATGTTTGAAGAAGGGCAAAATTGATATTGCAGTTGATGGATGATGAGGTCAATGTATCCGCAGAAGTATTCAAAAAATCGAACTCTGATAAGAAGAAAAAAATGAAGGTGGGGAGAACATAAGGGCGAACAATCTGTGATCTGCAGGGTAAAATGAGGGAATCGAACAAACAAGACATAACTAAATTTCCAGACTACCCAGTCAAGTGATCCGGAAACCGACGAAATTGCCACTAGCGAACTATTTCCAGTGAAAAAAGCTCTTCGCTACAACAAGAATTCCGGAAAATACGATGACATTTCTTACTAGTTATTTTAATTAATGATTCGCTAATGTTTTTCTGCTAAGAAAGTTCCGCGATGTGTTCACTACCGTAGCGCTTCCTGGTAAAATATAAACTTTATTGATACATCATGTAACGACAGTTTCGAAGACATCTTCTCTATTAGATCGCGCTATTGTATAATCCACGAAGCGCGTACGTGCTTCTATTGATAAGTCAGCTCTTGAAGGCAGTGTCCGGGAAGATTTGGAGATTTCTAACCGAGTAATAGGATCTTGATCTAGAACTATCGCGCAAATTCGACTCTTAAACCCCGTAAAAGGAGAAAATAGGTGCAGAAGATGCCGAGCCTCAAGTACCACGCCCCTCAAACGCACGGCCCGCCCCTTGAACGAACTCTCCCCAGCCATTGGCGTGTTTTCACGTAGCAAACATGATCGAACACATGTGTACCTGTTAATGCTTGCTTTCGACAAAAATAGCATTGGGAGCGCTCCTCCACGGTTCTCACAAAATTGTCTCAAAAATGGGGTTTTTCGAGGAATTCACACATTTTGAGTGCCATATTTTGGGATCAGTGCCATGAAATGGACTGGATAAGGCAAAAAAATAGAAGTCGAGATTTTGCCTGAACGCTGCCTTTGGGATCCTGCTTGGACTGTGTTTCTTCCATGTTACACAGTTCAGCGCAGAGTTAGTAAGTGAACCATATGGCAAAAGTGCACGCAAAAAGTAAAGGTTCCCAAAAGTCTTGTAGGCTAAGTTGGCACTTACTCAAATCATAGTAGTTTATATTTCAAAGTTATGACACAGAATGCTGCAACAATCCTTTACGAGATACATGTTTGCGAGTCCAAAATGATCTTCATATGTATTTGAAGAAAACAAAAATTATCGAATCACTACTTTTCAAAAGCGCAAAAATTTATTTTCTCGGAAATTCACAATTTATTCCGCAATTTGAAGTGTTTGGAACATTTTGGCACAATTTTATATCCACATCATAGAGGAGGCTTTGCACTGTACTACAGCTACAGTAGCTGCAGTTTGAAATCTGTTCTATTGAAAGGCAAGAGTAGATCTGCGAATATCAAATGCATGCCACTGCCACTGTATCTTTGAAATTAGTTTTAAATGTGTAATGCAGCAGTCATTAAATCTGGAGCAACTTTCTTCCCCATGTAGTTAAAGGCTGACAAAATCACTTTTAGAACCATGTTGAAGTCATTTTTTTCTATACGCGGACTGTGTCCAAAATTTTAGCACGCGGCCTAACATGCCGGTGGTCAAATCACGATATTTGAAAACTACATAAGATCTCGTCACAGTAAGTTGTAGGTGGAAGCTTGCTCTACCATATGCATTTTCAGGCGACGAACTATTTCCCTGAAGGGGTGGGGCAAAATTTTTGACGACTGCCTGTCCACGGCAGCCGCGGCGCCAACAATTTGAAGGCTTGTGTTAACGAGAAAAAATGCCGTTCGAAGTTCGAATGCTGTATTGTATTCTATTGTTTGAGTGATCTTTGCACCAAATCTCACATTTTTATGTTCCGTTCTAATTTTACCAAAAGAAAATTACTAAGGAACAGCATTTCGAAACACCGGTAACTAGTGTACTTCTGATACTTTCTCTAACTGTAAGAGACATATAGTATGTACGATACCATCGGATCAAATTGCTCGCATTCAGAAAATGTGAAGCATTTTGATGTTTTCGTCCATGACAAGTTAAAAAAAAATACTTAAAAGTAGGCATACTTGCGCGATCCGAGGAGGGCTAAACAATTAGCTTGTTTTGATTCGCCTACAAATATCTCTATGCAGCAAATGCTATATTTTCTCTTTGGCCATGTCGCAACCAGACAGGTCTCCCTATCAATATAAATATTTGGCTTATCTACGTTTTGTATGTTCGCCCAAAAAGGATGAAAGGAGTCGTGTAATCTAGACCGAATTTGGCAATCATCATGTATGGGATGGGGCGTGTGCTAATAAGCCTTTTTGTTCAGGACACACTGATTGCCGCCATTGATTTATTGATTATTTTAGTTTATGTTCAGAAATTTTTTCTTACGTTCGATCGAAAAGGTCGAACGGAATTATGACATTGAACCAAATTTGGCAAACACAATCTATGGAGTGAAAGGTGTGTTAGTAAGCCTTTTTGTTGCGGACACACGGGTTGCCCCTATTTATTTATCGATTCTATCAATTTTTGCTCAGCGAATTTTTCCCGCCTTAAATATAAGAAGAAGTTGTAATTCAGTCTGATGACGCATGTGGTTTGAACACCGAAAGATAGCTGTGCTCCCCTTTGCGGCAATTTCCTGCGCGTTTATGTTTCTATTAAAATTCAGCTCCAAAGGCAAAAGCCTTATCAGCGACTTCAGTTCAATTTCACCAGATAGCTAAACAAGAGAAGTGTAGATCATTTCATTTATGCGTTTGAATGATGCCAGGCGTGTGTTTATAAGTTGTTTTGTTCAATACGTACTGACTGCTTCCATCGATTTATTGTTTTTTTTGCAGTTTCTTTCAAAAATTTGCAGGTCCAAAATTTTTGAAAAAATTATGGGGCTGAATCAAACTTCGCATACATGGCCTTGAGAGCGCACGGTTTTCACTAAGCTTTTATCAAAAATAAACAATTGTCGCTTATGATTCATTGACTTCCGGCGTTTTTTGCTTGGCAGTTTTGTTATGACTGGCCCAAACTAGAAAAAAATTATGAGATCTGAACCAAACTTCGCATATATGAACTTTCGAACAGGTCTTTTGTTAATAAGCCCACTAATAAAGGCTAATCAATTTATTGTTTATTACTTAGTGATTTTGAGGCTAAAAATTGGCGAGAAGGAAAGGATAAGCAGACGTGGCTGTTACGAATACAACATCCTACTTCAGTTATTAACTTTCTCTATCTATTCATTAATTTTATGTATCTAACATTCTCGATAGCTAACTGATATTTGACTAATGCTGAGCATTAATTCCTTTCTCAGCGGGATTCATCGACCAGCTAAGTTCATCGACAAAATCAGAAATGCCACTTACCCATAAAATCAAATACGACCACCGTATCAACCCAATGACAATCAACACCCTTATACCACCTATCATACCATGACGCCTTTCTTGCGTACTGTACCTCCTTTAAATGCTTCCACTTTCACCACCGTCATATCGTCATCCACCCCTTACAGCATGGGACACATCCAGCCTTTCTATGTCGTTGACTGCGCCTTGTCTGTTGTTCAAAATATCAAAATTCTAAAGGACAAAATTGCGTCCTCACTCATCCTCGATCTATGTAGGTTAAAGGCACCGTCCACCCTAAGCTGAGGGTGTTGAGCTTTTGGCAGCATATGATAGTGGGGCCCCCATCAATCCAAGGTCCAAGACGCGGCGCAAAATGCCGCTTCAAAAACAAGAAAATCGCTTCGGAATAGCGAAGATCCACGAGGACCCCACCCATGCCCGACCTCCTCCATCATGCCCGCCCATTTGTGCGCGCCCATCCAATCACCGTTCCGGAAGGCCGGCCTGTGAGTTCTCCGAAACGGAGATTGTTGGGTCTTTCGCGGATTCTCAACTTCATATTTGGAATCAGGGACATGAGAAGGCCCTGAAACGACAAAAACGTGAAAGTCGACAATCTGGGTGGACGGTGCCTTCAAACCGAAGTTTCGTGCAAACTAACAAACTCACGAGCAAATTCTTTCGTCTGCACAATACAGAGAGAAACGAAACATATACAACATATACAAGGCAGCGAAGCTACCGAGTACCAGTCCCGCGTAGCGGCAAAGAGCGGGCTGGTCCTGATATATGTAGTAGCGTGTGTCAGATTAGACGGTCGCGAAGAAAAGTTTATCGGATTTCCATTTTCGCTTCTCTCTTGCACGCCTTTTTTCGTGATGTTTTGTCCATATAAATTAGCAAAAAGTTCGTTCAATCCAGATTCGAGTTGTTCAGTGTTGATCTCAAATAGCCATGATTAGTACCCATTGGTAGAAGATATGCAAATCGGAGAGGGCTTTCGGAACAACTTGATTATATACATACCTTCGATAGTCTAGAGACAGGGCGCCAAAAGTGAAGGTTGTTTGAACATCTGACGTCACAAATAGTGAAGGTTGTTTGAAGAAGATCAGAGAAGAAAAAATGACGTAAAATAGATATAAAAAGCAAGAGAAACTGCTGAAAACCAGATAAAAATGCTGCAATAAGGTTTGAAATCTTTCGTTTGGCGGCTTTTTAAAGTGCAAGTTTTCGCTGCAAGACCAGCAATTCGCAACGCGGGGTTTTGATTTTGATGCGTCCTTTGAATTTTTACCCTCGCGCCGTCCCTCTTGTACCCTGCGACGTTGTCTGGATTCTTCCGCTCATCATTCTGAGCAAGTATCGTCCAAGTTGGAGAAAATTCGTTGCGAAACCACTGAAAAAGAGTAAGGTAAAGAAAAACGCATTTTTTGTAATTTTCACAAAAAAAACGGCATAAGCAGAGAAATAAGCTCGGCGACGTTGTCTACATTATAGACAGAAACAAGACCTATCGACTACACAAAAAAACTGCGTGAAAAGAGTCAAACTAGGAGAAAAACGAGAGATTTTCGAAAACAAGGTTTTTGCCGGATTTCTCGTTTAAATCATAAAAAGGAGTCTTGCGACGTTGTCAGCGTGAAAATAGAGATCAAGAGCTTCAGAATGATATATAGCTTGCTAAAATTGGGTTCGAAACAGCGAAGAAAAGGGTACCAGAGCCAAATGCCCCGCGCCCCGCGTTTGGGGTAGCGAGGTAGCGCGCAGCGCGCGGAGACGCAGACGAGCAGCGGAGACAGACCAGAGCCGGCGGGGCATTTGGCTCTGGTCATTGATCTCCGCGGGGTCATAACAAAACCCTATAATATTATATATCGTTGTGATCCTCATGAGACGGCCAGGAGCACTGACAACGTCGCAGGTCTTGAAAATCACTCCATAACGAGATAGACCAGCATTTATGTGGCGACTCTCTGCGCAAGATTTCAGCGCAGTTTCTCGTTTTAAATGAATTCCAGCGGCTTTCATGAACCTCCAACGCTCAGTCGCAGTCTACAGAAAGGTTAATTGATAAGTTTCATCCTAATTTCTAACTGAATTTTTGAAGAAAAACCTTCTTTTTCAGCAAAAAAGGCCATAACGCGATCCTTCGGTTTTTTGAGCTTTTTCTGGATGTCACTACTATATTTGCCTCATCCACATTCATCCTTACATAGTTAGTCATTAGTTATATCATAATATCCGGGCTTCGCCCCGGATGACTTCTGTATTCCTCTCCAGGTGAAGGTTGTGTCCTCTCATGACACTCAAAGTGAAGGTTACCAGAGTACGTGGCTCTATGTATCGAAGGTATGATTATATAATATTTTAATGGAGCTTTGATTATTTCTAAATCTCCGTGCACCTGCTACCATGTAGTTGACATTTTTATCTGCGTTTTTAATTAGAAGGTACACAATAAATCAGTCAAATCCGGGCTCGACATGCTCTTTCGGTGATATCAAAGGAAGTGAGAATATCACATGGAGTCGACATCATTTTATACTCGAAGTGAATAAGTAGAGAAAGCAAAAAGTACAAATAAATCACAATAATTCGTGAGAATTGCAGCAAAGTGCCTGCTAGGAATACTATACAAAGTGACTAGTCACAATAAGAAACGACTACACTTTCACTGATAGGAAGAGTTACGTTATGCACAAAATGGCAAAACATTCTTTTGTACTGTTTGAGAAACGTTTATAACTGTCATGTCAAATTTTCACAACTTCTTCGAATTTGGTCCACACTTGCTCATCTTCTTTGAGATTCCCTTTCAGCGCTATGATTCTTTCATCGAGTTTTTTGATCTTCGACTGCACAGAAGCGAGCTCGCACACAATCTAGAAAAGAACAAATGTTACCTCTCCACCTCTCACACTGCATAAAAGTTGAGAGGAATCCTTAGCAGTTAATCACTGCCCGAATATAGATTTTACGAGATTAATGAAAAAGATGCTGCTTTTTAGGTCTTTACCATTGTTAATTTGAGAACTCTCAACAATCCCTTACACCACAAGGAAGACAGGATAAAGAGGAGGCGTTCTGAAAGCAATCTACATGAGTTGACTTCACAATGGTCTCATTGCTATTTATCAAAATCAGACTAACAAGGCTACAAGTCAAGCAGTTTATTACAAACAAAAAATTTCCAGACTGCTTTTATAAGTCCATTGAAGCCGCAATATTTGATGTGGACAGGAAATTGCACATGGTAGGAAAAAACGGGATGCTTTTTCTGAACAAGCGCCACAGTCCGCAGAGCAAAGGTTTATGGAAGCTCTTGGTAGCATTCGATGCAGTTTTCATGCTCATCTTTATATGGCAGTTGAAGCAACGAGCTCCCAGAAAATCACTATAAACTGCGACCCATGCTTTTTATCAAAGTCATCCGCTTTTTCTAAATTGTACTGATCCGCTGAAGAAGTCCTAGTACCCCATGGATAGAGCAAACATTATAGGATACAGAACAATTTCTGCCCCTTCCTTTCATAGCCTACTTTCCAAAATTTTCAAAAGCTATCAAATTCCATATTTGGTCACTGAGATCTCATAGAACATCAACCGGCAAGCAACTCGGGTGTCATTCGATGCAGCACTTTCTCCTCTAGAGACATGTTTTAGTTCCTGATTCGAAAAGTCTTGGGAGATAAAGTCGACAAAATTCATGTTTTTAAAGGCACACCAAGCTGTACCCGGCAGATTCAAAATTCGATAATTCTCATTTTTGTGAAATTATTTTGCTGAACCCTAAACCGCTTCTGAAAGTATCAAAAATCGAGAATTTGTTGGAGTTTCAAGAGTCTCTGCGTCTGGGATGGGTCTGCAAAATTCGAGGTGTTGTTTAAAATTCCTCTCTCGAAAAATATGGAGAGCTCTGTGAAGGAGAGCAAAATGGTTTTGTTATTAAGGTCTGCTCTGTCCATAGGGTACTTGGACCTCTTCTGGGAAATAGTACAAGAATTCAGAAAAATAGCGGAACTTGACCTTGGTAAAAGCATGGGTCGCAGTTTGTAGTGATTTTCTGAGAGCTCGTTGCTTTAACTGCAACATAAAGACATTTGAAAGAGCTAAAAAACTGCATCAAATGCTACCAAGAGTTTCTGCGAACCTTTGTTCTGCGGACTGTGGGCTTGTTCATGGAAAAAGCGAAAATACTCGGGAAGACCTAGTACAAGCATAGCAACTAGTATATAGCTTTTTGCACAAGTTCATAGCTGATGTAGGTAACTTTCATAAATTATGCAATCAACTCTCCCCCCCCCCCCCTTTAAATGAGTCGCGAAAATAATGAAAGTTGCCTAAATCGGTTACTAAATGTATAAAAGACTTATTTTCATTTGTAAATAATTACAAAAATTTCCTGAATTTTTAAAAATTCTATTTACATTTCTTTCACTTTTTTTCAAATTTCTATTCACTAGCCTTCTGAACTTTCCGAGAGCTAGGCTGGCGCCTGCTTACTCAATATTAGAGGTTAGAGGCTGGTGGAATTTCTGGTAAGCGTCTTAAAAAAACTTTTCGAATGATGCCTGAGCCGCTCGTTCAATCAAGAAAAATTTTGAAAAATCGCCCCTCTGCCCGAAAAAATCTCTTGGTCAGCCACTGCTTCTTAAGCTGTTCGACCCTTTTGAACATAACACGAAACCATGCTGACCACTATTCCTTGAATGACTTTCATCTAATTGGATGAAGATCAAACGCCATCGGAACTACGTGATACCTGGACCTCAACAATTTCCCAAAAGCTCCACAGAATAATTTTGGATAACTTACTTGCAAAACGGTGTGCATTGACTTCCGTGCTTCCTTCGCTGGCGTAGGTTCCAGAATTCCGAATGGACGAAACGTAGGTACCTCCTTCGCTTTCGTTTGCTCCTCTTCAACATGCTCTGTTTTCTGCTCTCCTTTGCGTTGGCGAATCTGGAGACACTAGAGAATTTTGCGGGTTTCTGTGCGGGGGATATAACTGCTTATTTTCTTATTTAGACTTATTTGATACGCTCTTGGCGTTCCTTAGAAAAGAACGGAAACACACAGTCACCATACTCTAACCACGATAATTCATCATGTAAAAATTAAATCCTTACTGCTATTCAGTTGGAGTCACTGCACTCTCCTTGGCATATTGGTTTGGTGAGATTAGGCAGTATATCACCATCAAACCGTTTGCTTGTTAATCAAAATCGTTTGCTGGCAAAAAAGGGTGTGCGTATCATTTCCATGAATCACACTAATTCAATTCTACTTTTTAATGAGACATTTTTGAGTGTATATTTTCAATGTTTGAGTAAGAAGACTTGAATTTGCAAAGTTAGGCAACGTTACTAAAGAGGGAACGATGCCTGGTTACCCCGGCCATTCATAATGGTTTGTATATCAAAAAATGCGCCTTTTAATGCTGATTCGATTATTGTTTTCCACAACTGCGAAATGGGAACCTGGATGGAGTTATGGTTATTTTTTCAGAAATGAATTGCACTACTGCGGAGGGTGAAAATCAATGATAAAAATTTTTCTTTGCTATTCAAATGCTGAATATGGTTCAGATAGGTATAGATACAACGTTACACCTTTCGAGATTCTCCTCAATAGCTTCAAACGGTAAAATAGATCAAAGTGGGTGATTTTAACTACCTAAAAGTACGCAAATTTTCTACGAAAACAAGTTCATAACTGCTGTCAAGTGATTGTTTCGCAGATTTCGAACACAGATTTAGAATCAGCGTTCCGAAGTGCACCTTATGGTATACATCGCATTCCACATGACCGGGGTCACCAAGTATCCTTTCCTTGTAAGTAATCACTTCATCAGCTCATGCCGTAGAAAAAAATCGCCTTTTTAATCGCTCTTCGAGAAAAAACTCTGAACCTCCACAGCATTTTCGGTTATTGCAGCCTACGGAACTCCCATAGATAGTTATTGCAACCAATCTAGCCTGTGACCGCTTCTGTTTTCGATAAACCAAATTACTACAAATCTTTGGCAGACACAGAAATTCTCGCGTTCCCCAAAATATTGGGTCGTTCCGAAAGTTCTTTCCGTTTTTTCGGAACATCATAAAACTGCGTGGAGTAAAGATGAGCAAGCAATTCAAGGACTATTCGACGCGGTTTTTTTCCTCTTTCCAGCAGGTGTTTTTGACGCCATTTGCTTCCGTGGTACAAAGATAATTGCAGAAGTTTTGAACCCATGGTTTTTACCATGCTCAATTTGGCAATTTTTCACATTTTTCGTTTCAAACTTCTGGATGAATCTACTTAACAGCTGGATAGAGCAAACAAAGTGCAACATTATGATTTTTTTGGCATCTCCAGCTGGCTTTCCAAGCTGACCGAAATTATTTTTCTAATGCCATCAGATTCCACATTTGGTTCAGCCAAACCTCATAGAACATCAAATGAAGGGCTCGAATGCTATTCGATGCAGCTTTCTCTCGTCTTTCAGATAAGCGTTTTTTGTTCCCGGTTTCTACAATCTTCGGAGGTGAAATCATGAAAATCGTAAATTTTTGGACTCACCTACGGCTATACCCGGACTTTCAAATTACGATCGTGACAGCGAAAGCTCGTTTGTTTTGCTAAATTAGTGGTAAATGATAATCGAGTTTTGAAAGTCTCAAATTCCGAAGATTTCTCGGTGTTTGATGCGTTTGCGCACCATATGACATTGCGAAAGTGAACACTTTAGGAAAAATCATCTTAAAAAATACTGGAAAACTAATTGGAGATACCCAAAAAATGTATTGCATTGCATTTGCTTGCTCTACCACCTGTTATTACAGCTCTTCTAGAAGTTGAGACCGAAAATTTTAGGAAAATGCCAAACTTTGGTATGGCAAAAACCGTAGGTTTGGAATTTTGGCGATTATTTTAATGACCAAAAAGCAAGTGGTTTGTGAGCATGACTGTTGAAAAGGGGAAGAAAAGCTGCACCAAATAGTGGATAGTTTGACCATTCTTTATTCTACGTGTTTTTAGGATAGCTTGAAAAAACGGAAAGAACTTTTGGAACGACCTGATCTTTACGGTAAATGTTCAAAGAACACAAAAGTAGGACATGTACCCGTCTACAAAAGGCTTGTACCTAACGAAGCTCTATAGGAGCACACCATCTCAGCGTTCATGAAACTGACTCATGAAAGATACCTTATCGTCGGTTTCATCATCGTCTTGCCCTGTTGCTTGATCCACAAGAGTAAACTTTTCTCCATCAAAGGTGACCCTGCAAGTGCAACTAAATGGACGTACGAAGACTTACAGTGAACACTTGGAAATTACCTTGACGTGGGCACTAGCGTTTGAACGTCAATATTGAACAAATGCGATAGTACTACGCCGCGTAGGGTTCTGAATGCGAAAAATAAGGTGATAAGCACTCCATAAGTATACGCTACCGGAAAACACAAAGCTACCTTGCTTTCGACATTGATGATCGAACGGAGGCTAACTGATTTTCCAGCTGAACAGCAAGATTTGCGAACTCCGAAACATATTGGAGTCTCTCAAATGTTAAATTGTTCAGCTCCTCCATCACTATTCTGAAATGGAATCTATACTGGAGTTTAATGAACAGCCACAAAAATATAGCAAAGTACAATGACCAAAAGCCATGGATGGTAATCTCGGTGATCAAAAATCGCATCTAGGCGTCACGGATGGCTTGCATCCGCAAATGCGTCCTACTTCTGTCAATTACGCCTTATTCAAATTGAAGATCTGCTTCTCAATTTCAAAATAGCCATTTCTTTCTCATTTCAGGAAAGTTCAAGTGCGAAATAATCAGATCCATTTTTTTACCAGTGTTGGAACAAATACGTACTAGGGCTTTCTCTAATCAAATTTAAGACGATGATAGATCAAACGGGAAGTTCTTTCAGGGAGGGAAACGGGCTTCCCTCCCTGAATGTTCCGATGGTATCGTGAGTTAGAAGATGTCTGCATATATTTGAGATGATGAATGATTCATTCTTCGATTGTTTACTTCCGCTATACTTCGAAGCAAACTAATGTAGTCATATTTTTGAATGGCTTGGCGAATTCGTCAATTTCTACCGCACACTCTTATATTCAGTTTCAGACATGGAAGGCAACCCAATGTTGGGTATGCGCTTACCTCCTGATCTCCATGAGCAGGATGCCCTACATGAGAGCATCCAGATCTGCAGAGCAATCGCAGTGCGAGTGCTGGAGATTTTACTGCGACTTCCCGGATTGATACTGTTGGAGCTTTGGTGGAGAAATAGAGATATTAGCTTTGATGAGATCACTCAGGAGATGCTGAAAAAAGTAAGTTTGTGCGTTTTTGTAATGCTTCGTATCATGAGATCTTTAGGCGCCGTTCAACTCCTATCTCGATATATCTACGATTCTCGATTTTGTGCACAGAAGGAACTTTGATAACTCAGCTGCTTTGATATTGAGTTACTCAGGTTCGTGACTTCTCGTTTGTTCTTGGATTGCTGAGCTTCCTCTTTGTCTGAAATAACTCTTCAAATTTATCCTGCTATAATCTTTGATTCAGTGATACTACCATTGAACCCTTAGCGTTCAGATCTTGAATTGACACTACTGGGGCTTATTTTTTTCATGCCAAATTCTGTAACCGATTCATAGAGAAGCTACTTGCAAAGGTGTTACGATAGGTATATTGAAGGTGGGGTCGAAATCCCAAATTAGCTTGAACCTTGTCTAGGGGAGGCGTCGGAGTTACCCGTATTCCGGATCAAATCTAGATTGAGGGCTACTTCTTCTTTGGAACTGCCACGGTTATGATATCGGCCAGACATGCGAAATGATTCTTTCGGGCTCAATTTTGAGCAAATCGGGGACTGTGGCTCACCTACCATATACCTACCTACCAACAACAGGAAATGCTACTGCTCTACCAAATCATTATGCTGTTTGCCACAAGCGGCGCAGATATATAACAGCCTTAAAGGCAGCGTCCAGGCAAGTCTGGACACATGGGGATCTCACGTGGATAGTAATTCTGAGGCCCTAATTAAGCCACTGCCCAACCGGCAGCTCAGGTATTGCTCTAACGGCTGAGATATTCCCCTCGAAACTGGACCCCGCGATCGTATTTCGCATGGATTCATAGCGCAAAGCGTGGACCCTGGCGCGAAACTGCCACGAATCCATGCGAATACGATCGCGGGGTCCAGCTTCGAGGGGAATATCTCAGCCGTTAGAGCACTACCTGCGCTGCCGCTTGGGCAGTGCCTTAGTTAGGGCTCCAGTAGTACTTTCCAAGATCTCCATAGGTCCAAATCTGCCTGGATGCTGCCTTTAAGCAAAGTCTCATCGAAATCGCGCGGTCTTCGGTTCATTGAATGGAATAGCGCAGAGTGACCAGTATATAGCAGTGGCGTACCCAGGATTTCGGCTCGGGGGGGAGGGGGGGGGGGGAGGCGCGACAAAAAAATTTTTCTAATGAAGGTGCGTGGTGTTAGCCACGCACTCCGAAAATTTTTTTGGGATGTTTCCCAAAATTTTTCCGCACCTCTGACCCCAAAATTCCAGAAAAAGGGGGCGTGGCGGCAGCCACGCCCCCGAAAAAAATTTTTTTATAAGGCTAATTTGAATTTTTAAAAATTTTTAAAAATTATTTTAATTATTTACAAGTAAAAACGAGTCCTCTGCACTTTTTTATAACACATTTAAGTAACATTCAAAAATTCCGCGACCCATTCTCGGGGGGGGGGGGGGCGCCCCCCCCCTCGGTACGCCACTGTTATATAGGACTTTTAACTATGTGAATCTTGAAAGATGCACTCTTCATAAGCTGGCCTCATTCTACTGCTTACTTCTTTTCTACCGCTTCTCGTTGTCAGAAGGCCTCTTTCTTACCTAGCGCGATTGTGGCGCATATTCCATAAATTGATATAGGGTTGAATTTGCTTTATAGCGTCGAAATCCTGCGAGGTATGGCCGATACCTTAGAGGGCAATCTTGCTATAAATTCTATCTCATTATCTCTGAGCATCTCTGAGCATAAGGTTGACAGAGTTTTCTCAGTTACCAAGGAGTTCTGAGGAGTGCTTTAAAATCTCTCACTCTGTCTAAGGGCAAGAACGAAATGGAGGCTGGTAATCTTTCTACCAAGAAAATTAGTTAGTATTGTTTTCTGTGACTGTGCGGGCGGTAGCGTTCAGATAGTAGATTTTTGAAGAACATTGTAAGACCTTATCTAAAAACGCTATATTTCCAATGCCTGCATTCACTTATTGCAGTTTGAGAGGAGTCGAGATCCGCAGACTCCAGTTTTAGCGCCGCGTGCATCACCCAGATTTAGACTCGCTTTGAGATTCGTATTTCTGGTCGAAATTTGCTGATGAAAATGCAGGTCGAAATATCCGTAGTTCGCTTGATTTCTTGTATGAAAGTTTTCGTTCCTCTTTGAATCAAACTTTGGGTGTACACAACTTAGAAAGATTTCAGTGTTATTTCTCAGCGTCATGTTTCTAACGCTGCCACTGACGAAGCTGTTCAAGCTTTATGCCCATGCACTTAGCCTGGTGATATTCGCATTTGCACATTACATGTCAACGACTTATGTCTATCTCGAGCAAAATACTGAAGATAAGGAACTGAAACTTGACAACTTCGTAAAGTTGGAACGACATGGATTTCATTTTCTTGCACAGGTAAGTGAGAATTGTAAGCTCAATAATCCTTGTTTTATAATGTGTTCTTTAGCTCATGCTAAGCGTTGTGCAGAGCTGTGTTCTTGGTCTTGAAAGCGATGTTGGTCGAGCATTTCTTACTGTGTTTACTCTTCCAATTGTTGCTAGAATGTGTGGTTTTCCTTTGGATAAGCTCATCCTAGGTAGAGACACATGCAACAAGAATAGTCTCAAGTCTGTTGACGTTAATTTCAGCGCACAATGTCGCTTGTTCTTTGGTCATGCTGTCAATGTGCATCTACGTTCTCAATCGTGTGCCGGATATGGTACATGGAATGCGAATGGCTTTCCGTCAAGTGAAGGCTATTTTTGTTGTGCGCGGCTTAGCCGGAGGTTTGTATCCATTTAGCGCTGTGATGTCCCACTATGCGTTCATAGTTGCCGTTCACCGGCAGAGGACATGAAATTTGCATTTCGCTTGCAATGGGGAAATGAAGCGAACGCCATTGCATGTGGCGCATGAATTACCCTAATTTCACGAGTATAGGACGCAATTTTTCGATTTTCAAGCAAGGTGTTCAGCCGTCTCACTCTACTTCGGAAAACGAGACTTATACCGCATGATACTCTCAGAAAATATGCAGCACTGTATATAGTTTTTTGGTCGCGAACCTTCGACTTGTCTGTGCTGTTCGACTTTAGAAGAAAATCCCCCGCTTCCTGTACTCGTGAAATTAGATTTTATACAACATTATGCGTCACGTGAGGAGCTATGAACGCAGTCTCATACAGTATGAGTTTGAGGGCGCGGTCAAACCTTCTATTGCTGACGACATCTGACGCCGATTAATTCGTCACTTTCGTTTTCTTACTTGTTCAATTATTACTGAACTTACCTCCACTCATTGCTCGTTATCATATTTCAAAATGATGCCACCTTTCTTGGGTGTCAAGAGGCGCGGTTTTTATTGCCACACTAGCTGGCTTACCCGGCTCCGCCGTATGTTCCGAAAAGAAAATTTCATTTCTTAACCGATCCGGACCAAACTTGGCACACATACACTTCGGGCCCCGGCGGGTGTCACAGTCCACTTTTCGTCATCGATCGATGTCGATTTTATCGATTTTTCGCAAAATTTGAGCTAGGGGGCTGGAATTTGGCAGGGGGGTGTAATCGAGCATGCTGATCACCCCCCTGTGCCGACTCCCAGCCCTGTAGCTCCAATATTGCAAAAAATCGATAAAATCAATATCGATCGATGACGAAAAGTAGCCTATGACACCCGCCGGGACCCGAAGTGTATGTGTGCCAAGTTTGGTCCCGATCGGTTCAGAAATGGAATTTTCTATTCGGAACATACGTACAGACAGACATACATACAGATAGACAAACAGACATTCAGCTTTATATATAAGATGGAGCAAACTGCACATGTTTAATGTTCTACAACCTCAAAACCATTCAAATCTTTTACGAACAGCTAGTAAACCTAGCACTTTGGGCTATCCAATATACCGACCCCAAAATCAAAAATCTCAGATTTCGCTCAAACTCGGTATAGGGGGTTATTCGATCCACTGATGCCGAATACCATATAGATTCCTTGCGACGCCATTTTTCGGGGGGTTACGGTAGATATACGGTAGGGGGTCAGCACGAAATTCTCTGAAACACGTTGCGGGGGAGGGGGGTTATTTGACATACTGAACACGAGTATGATATTCACTCGTTACGGTAGCACCTCATTCCGGGGTTACGGTGGGTATAAGGTAAGAGGCCAAAATCACGGTTTCCGCTGAAACTTCGTGTGGGGGGCTTATTTGACATCTGATCACGATTATAATGTTTATTAGTTACGATAATGTCTCATTCCAAAGTTACGGTGGGTATACATTACCAATACTACCGCTAAACCGAGTTCACGCACGTCGCAAATTTCCTCCCCCTGCTTTGCTTAGGCAAAAGCCGCCGCAAGGTGTGTCGCGCGCGGCGGTGTCCTGTATGAAAGCATTACGGTCCTGCTTGTGATTCAGACCCCCTATCGTACACCTACCGTAACCCCGGAATGAGGAGCTACCATAACGAATGAATATCGTATTCGTGTTCAGCATGTCGAAGAACTCCCCCCCCCCCCCCCACCTGCACTGAGTTTCAGAGAATTTTGTGATTTTGACCCGCTACCGTATACCCATCGTAACCCCCGGAAAATGGCGCTATCGCAGTGAATCGATATAATATCCGGCATGAGCGAATCGAATAACCCCTCCCCTCCTATACCGAGTTTCAGCGAAATCCGAGATTTTTAATTTTTGGGGTCGGTATACTAGAATAGTACCCCCCATAAACTTGCAATATATCTGCTTAATATTGCTTATCATATAATTTATTGTTAGATTCTTCTCATCAAAAACTCCTCAACTTTAGGTTTCGTTACCGTTTGGCGTCGCTTGCGCATCGCAGAGCTAATGACATGTGCATGGCTGACCATGTTCGTAATTCGCATGTACGTAGAAATGTGGGAGAAGGTACTAATCTCTCCTGTTTTCCACTGCAGCTAGCCCTCTGGATCATCACTCAGATAATCATCAACGAAATTTCAGAATCGTTCTTGGCGCGAGGCGGGACCAGCTTTGTTGGAGGGTATCGCAGAAAGCACCAATACACCTATTTCTCTCCTCGCTCTTGCACTGACGGTATCATTTGTGTGTAAATGGATAGTGGACGGAGCGCAGTTGGCGATTGGTGGTCGTCGTGATCATGGACACGTTCTTGCTCACTCAGGGTGAGAATTATGCAGTGTTACATTTTTTAGCAATTTTCTAATATTTTCTGTATTTGAATTAATCCTTAGCCAATCATTCTTTTCTCCAGACTCTGAAGCTTGAATGCTTTTTTTATCAATGGTGCTTTTTTTCACAGAAATGTCTTTCAGTTACACCGAAGCATTGACTTTGGTGCTACTATGTCTGCAGACAGGCCTTCTTGGCATGAAGACTGAGCAGAAAGCCTTTTTGCTGGGACTTGTTCTCTTCATCGGTTGGTTTCGCTTTAAAGGCAGCGTCCAGGCAAGTCTGGACACATGGAAATCTCGCGTGGTTAGTAATTTTGGGGCCCTAACTAAGCCACTGCCCAACCGGCAGCTCAGGTAGTGCTCTTACGGCTGAGATATCCCCCTCGAAACTGGCCCCCGCGATCGTATTTTGCATGGATTCATGGCGCAAAGCGTAGATCCTGGCGCGAAACTGCCACGAATCCATGCGAATACGATCGCGGGGTCGAGTTTCGAGGGGATATCTCAGCCGTTAGAGCATAACCTGCGCTGCCGCTTGGGCAGTGCCTTAGTTAGGGCCCCAAAAGTACTTTCCACGTAAAATCCCCATAGGTCCAGATCTACCTGGACGCTGCCTTTAATTGGAGAGTACCGACGAAGCCATTTATATTGTTGCTCATGACCATTTTGTTACAGTAATGTCTGCTTTGCTGCAATCGTTGTACGAACTTCTGGAGCCACAGTTGTTATCCTTATCTGCTTCACCAAACGCTTCAACTGCACGCCATGCGCGATGCCTTATTCTTGCGCTGATACTCTTCGTTGCCCCGATTGTAATGGCTGGAGCTATCACTTCCTTCTTGCCTGTAGACTTATGGTACGGTTTTATTCTATTTACTTTTTGAGGCAAGGATTGCTACTAAATTGCTTTGGCAGTCGTGATTTTGGGGTTTAGGTGTGTGATCATTGTGTCCAACTGTGTCCTCACCACAATCCATGCAGCATCGTCGGCCATACAGTATGTTATAGGGATGGTAGAAGTAAGTAGAAAGAAGCTATAGCATTCATATTCTGTGTTACTAAGCTCCGTTTTACAGTCTCGTTCTCTCGAGCCCTGGGAACAAAGCGATGATCTTATGTTCTGGACCAGGATGATTACTAAAGTCTTTGAGTTGTCTATCGCGCTCATCGTGCTTCTATATGGTATCATGTTTACAGTTTCAGGTAAGAGAAGGCAAAAATTAGCTCCGTTAGGTTTTGAATCTTCAGGTAACTGGACGTTGGCAACCATTGCAGTCCTCATCTTCCATGTAATATTCAACATTTACAGAAGGTTCGTTTTTTGTGTTGTTTTCGGCTTTGTTCACACCAGTTCCTTATAGAATGGAGACTCTTATTGGATCAATGACTGCTCGTCAAGCAGCAGTGAAGAATATAAATCGTTTACCGCGAGCCACTAGAGAGGAACTCAAAGGTTCGAATTGACATTCCAATGAAATATGTGTTGGTGTGCAGAGAAGGACGCCTTAAGCTCGATCTGACGTTTGTGCTATATGCTTTATGGAGATGTGTGAAGAAGCACGTGTGACTCCGTGTAAACACTTTTTCCACGGATCTTGCCTGAGGAAGTGGCTTTCCGTTCGCCAGGTTGGATTTCATTGTTAACTCTTTCGAAATGAGTCTCGCATCTGAATTAGTGATTTTCTTAGAATCTCTTTCTTTTCTCTTTTCCACTTCTGTAACTTATTTTCTTTCCAAATCAGTTTCTTCAAAGGTCTGTCCTCTATGTTACGCGGACTTGGTAGATCCAGACCAAGAGCCCGCAGTAGAAGAAGTCGAACGCGAGTTGCCTCCGGATAGGGAAAGGGCACGAGAAAGGAATGCGGAGCTGAGAGAGTTGCGTGCGATGGAAGGTGCGAGGGATATGTGGCCGCTGATGGAACAGTAAGTAGCGAGATTTATTTCTTGGCAACACATGTCTTCTTATCATTCTTGCAGAGTCTACGATAATGCTACTGATTCGGAAAGTGATTCTTCTTCTGCAACTGAATACACATTAGCGAGCACTGATGATTGAAATGCGTATGTCAGCTACTTACCGTAAAGTTCAAGTTGGGTTACCACTGTGATGTTAAAATGCCAAATTATAAATATCATGATTTTTGAGATGTGCTATACAATCTATTTTCTTTCTTCTTTGACAAAAAAACTGCATTTCTAATGGGAGAAGTTTAAACTTATCGCAATTGGTAATAACATTACCATGTACGTTTCTTTTTCTGTAAGCGTGAGTACCGTCAAAACGGTTCATTTGTGCAAAGCATGTTTTTTTATTTCTCAGTTATTTGTTCCATTGATTGAAAATCTGAAATCCTCTATGATGTCTTTTCCATATACAGACTGTTTGTTCCTGTGTCTCTTTTGTGCGCCGTTCTTGAGTTATTCCTTTTCTGAACAACGGGTAGCGAATAGTTAAAAAGTAAACGGCTGCGACTTATTGTCAATTTTACTCACGAGTTACTTATGGCCATTCTCATTGATGTCTGTTCGTGTTGATGTTCAGGTGACTGTTTGTCTTGCAGATGTCTTGATAATTCTCAAACGTAATAAAAAATCGTTGAAGCTTTCATTGGTTTGCTTAGGTCCATACCTTCTAAGGATATTGCAGTTCTTATTTGAAAATTCCTATGTTCTATGTGTCGTCGTAGGATGTCATCACTTTCACCATTTTGCGCTGCACGACTAGTGCGAGCAAATACGCTGATATCTGCCGCATGTCGCACAGTTAGTGGATGTCCCTCGCGACCTGCAGTTGCAAGTCGAAAGCAGAGTAACCTAAAGAAGAAAATGGAGGAATTGAAACATATTCAGGATTTTCCGTAAGTTCATTTGCATCCTATAGTAGGTCAGGATGTTCAAAAGCTATTTAGGTCGGTTTATCCTGATTTTGTGCAATCTCCTGTCTGGAATCGACGCAATGCATTGAAAGAGGAGCTTGAGTACCAGGATATGCTTGAACGACGTATGCATCTGGATATACCTGAATTTTATGTTGGTAAGTTGAATGTCCACAGCGATTGTACTTGTCCTTCTCTGGTTAGGGATGCTCTTTTTTGCAAAAAAATTATTTGCTGTAGTTTCATTTCAAATGGGAGGTCCTCAAAAAATGCTATGTATATTTCGGGCAGTGTTCTGACATTGCGCCAAAGTAAGCAAAATTGTCTGCTGCTTGTTAAGAACTCACATTATCCTGGAACGGGGATTTAAATTTAGCTCTAGGGACCACCTTCTATTTTTTGGCGCATTTCACAATGAAAGCGACATCACGTCAAAGACATCTTTTAGGTTCGATTGTTGCTGTTACTACTTCCGAGAGGTATATGGGTAGCAAGGAACATCGATTTGTGGGCATTTGCATTAGAAGAGAAAAACAGGGCCTACATCATCAATTCACCCTGAGGAATGTATTAGAGGGTGTAGGTTAGTATTTTTGTCTCAGGACTGGGGCGATTACGCTTTGGTAATTGAATGTAGTCAATGCAAAACACTTTTAGGAATTGAGATTATGTACGATTTGTACAATCCCACCATACGTAAGATTGAAACGCTGAAACTGGAGAAACGACTAGATAAGGATCTGAGTTACCTCATTGATGCACTGCCGGAGTATAGCACATTCGACTTCCATATGGAGCCCATTGCTCATCCTGCTGGAACTCCTGTCCCAATCAACCCTATCAAGGTAGCTGTTTTCTTTCTTGGCTATTGTACGATATGCTTTTGAAAATAGTAGTTTCGTTTCTCATACTCACGAATTTTTGTGTGAAACACAAGCCTGTCTCTGCCATCATGCACTATTTGGTTTCACGTACACAAAATAAAAGATAAAGATCAAAATCAAATGATTAGATCGGTTTGCTCACGTATTGATGTTCGTGTGGTAAAGTTCGACAGCCGGTCCAACTATAGGAAGGCAATGATAACGACGCGCGTATGTGGGGGTATAGCTCAGTGGCAGAGCATTCGACTGCAGATCGAGAGGTCCCCGGTTCAAATCCGGGTGCCCCCTTCGCTTTTGCTTTATCGGAAGCATACGTATTTGTAGATGGAATTGGCATTTGCTTTGCTAAGACGTTTTTGGTTATTCATTAACATGTATAAGAAGCATGAATTATCATAAAAACTATAATTCTTGACTCATTATTCGGATTTTCTGCTTTTTCCCTGGTGTTCGACATAATTGTTGGAGAATTCGTCATGTTGGATGACAAAAATATTTTCGTTTTGTTTAAAAGTAAATTAGCTCATATTTGATGTCTTTGCGATATGTTGGAAATTGTGAAAATTTTTCATCTCTGTATTTGACCTTCGGAGTGCGAAGGCAATCTGCATTTATTTTTAATATTAGGGAGTCATGATAATGTCCAATTTGGGAATTTAGCAAGGAAAAGCGAAGGGTTTATGTCGCTCTGTCCTATCAGAAATTAAGGACTGCACAATGGAGTAGAGCAAACCATCAGAGTTACATTTAAATTTGGAGAGGAGTTGTTGTTTATGACAAATTGCAGTTGAAAATGTAGCTGGACGCTGATTACGATAGTTAATTAAAGTCGATTCAGGTAAAACTTCGCTCTCCGCCGTGGACCCGTCGTTGGGAGTTATATGATTGCAAAGGCATAGAAGGGGCATGGCAACAGGCGACTCCATACTTCAAGCGCAAGTTTCACAAAACTAAGGTAATTTTTACTTTTGTGCGCATAGGAAACATCGACTTTCTTGTCGGAAATTTTTTGCGAATTAGCACCATTGATTTTTTTAAAGGAACTGGCTTTAAATATATCCATAATTAGCCGAATCGTCAACTTACGGAGTTGAAATCTGCAAAACGGACAAACGTTTTTTTTTTCTTATCACCAAAGCCTAGCAGTAGGATTTCGGAAGTTATTATAGTAAAATAAATCTTATATTTAAAGCTGAATGCCTCTTTGTCTGTATATATGTTTGTGTGTATATGTTCCGAATAGATTTTATGCTGAACCGATCCGGACCATACTTGGCACATATGCACTTCGGAGCGGGGGCGGGTCCACTTATCATTATCGATCGATATCGATTATATCGATTTTTTGCTGTTTTAAGCGCGGAGTTGGGAGTTGGCAAGGGGGGGGTAAGTGAGAAGGCTGATTGCGGATATACTGACAACTGACAGGGCCAGGTAGAGCCGGATTTGCTAGCTAGTATAGAATATATGACACCGAGACGCAATTTTCATTTGAAAAAACCCCTCATTTTTTTGATTCCAGATGAATGACTACCTTCAATATGACTTGATTGCCGATTACCGAGTCGGTTCTCAATTGGAGCACGAGCTGGAAGTTGAAGAAAAGATGCAGCGATTTGAGAAGGAAAGGCACACAGCTGGGCTTACGCGACGTCGCATTTTCCGCAGTGCAGCAGCCTCGCGATAGTGCTGACATGAAGTGTCTAGAAACTTCTTTTATCTATGTTTAGAAATCAATTGAAAATAATTAGGACATTTTATTTTATTATTGCTGCCTCATCAAATTCTATCTGTATGTTTCGATTATTGTTATAGATTTGACCGGATTTGTCTCAAACAATCAATAAGATGTCTATCAGAACCTCTTTTAGACTTTGCTCCTAGATTTATATGACACAGCTTCTACAAAGGTGACTGGATGTCCACATTGTTGGATGTTCTCATTTTCACAATTGTTAGAGATTTGAAAAGAAATTGAAAGAGCTATCGATTCAACATCTTATCGGTAGTGGCTTGTCAAATATCGCATCCTACAACCAAGAGTTTACCAGTTCGAAGGGCAAAACAATCTGCGAAAGAAGTTTAATTGTGGATGAACATCTCTTGTCGAAACTTATGCGATTACTGCATGGGCAGTAATCAGCACGCATAGTTTTATTCAGAGCCGAAGAATAAGCTGTCTTCAAAAGGATCGCGTTTCTGAAACCAAGTCTTTCATCAGAACGAAAAGAGTCAAATAAGACAAAAAAGCGGAGATTGAAGGTCTGCCCGATCTAGCTATGAAGACAATTTTGAGAAAAATTATGACCTCTAAAGGACTACAATGCTAACATTAGCCCTACGAGCGCGGAAAGGAACCGTAAATAGCAGTGGTGGACCGAGGTGTCTTTTTTGTCTCCCTTCCCCCCACCCCGAAAACTAGTCTCTACTTTCATGGTTATAAAAATGTGCGAGTGACTTGTTTATTCTCATAAAATTACAATACTTTGAGATTTTCTTAAAATTCAAATCTGTTAGGCGTTATGGGCCCGCAAAAATTTAAGGACTCCAAAAAAATTTTTGGAGTGCTTGGCTAACGCTACTCACCTTTATCACCAAAATTTTTTGCCGTCCCCCTCCCCGGACGGAAATCCTGCGACCACCACTGAAAAATAGTTGCCCGTAACATTTCAGTAGAGAGAACAGTGCCAGGGATTGTGTGCGGACTGTGGTGTCTTGCGTTCGCATTCTCCTAGCAAATGAAAGTTTTTGTTGTGGGTATTCGCGTTTCAGCAATCCAGTGTAAGAAAAAGGCATGGAAAAAAGTAGTTGATATTCATTTTGATCAGATTTGAGCAATGTTTACGAAAAGATTGATCATGTCTATTGTCGACAATCATTCATAAGGGAGGGCTGCATTTGCTACCGATTTTGTGGAAAAGTGGGGTGAGGAGAGACAAATTTTTTGGTTGAGTGAAGGGAGCAAAGTTGGCTGTGTCCTTCGAAAATGGAAAAAAAATTTTTGTATGTGTAAGAACTCAAATAAGCTTTGTAAAAAGCATTTTTTTCGCTTTCTTTAAAACTAATTCAAATTTTTGGATATCATTTCAATCATCTTATATATTAGGTTGTGTAATAAGTTCTGTCCCATTTTTTCTTTCGATTTTTTCTCAATATTTTGCGCGATGTTCTGTAAATTGTTTATATGCATTTGAAAGCTCTAAGCCTTCTCTACTAAGACTCTCATTTCGGTTTTCTCCATCAGATGACTGAAGAAAGTTTTACAGCGTCAAATTTGGAAAATCAAACAGGGAAAAAATCCATTTTCGACAACTACGTTACGTCGCCTTCCTAATTAGTCAGAATGCCTACGAATGAGCTCGAAGAATTTGCTACACGTAAGCAAAGAATGCTCTAGCTTCTACTGCACTTCAAGAGTGCTGAAACTTTTCAAAAATCATTTCTGTAAACTTTAGAAAACTCTTCTTTCTAAAGCCTTTTCAATGCTGGTGTTGGGCATCATCTGAAGGCATCCTGAGGAAAGACGGTAGGCGGATCATCCAGAAAAGAAAGAAGGGATGGTTTGTGGCTTCAAAATTATCGAATTCGTGGGTTAGGTTCTTAAAATTCGGATTTTGGAAGCAACACAGCTTGAGTACGCGAGACGGCGAACATCGCCGTGACAAAGTCTTGCCTTGCCGACTTCAAAAAAATGTCATTGAATAGCCGATGGAAGGAAGGGAACATGCGAAAACAGTGATAGAATAAGTGTAAAATTCTAATAGATTGTTTTGGTTGTTGTCAGGCTTGTTTCATAAGTTTTACCAATAAAAATCGAGAAAAATTTGGAAAAAGATGTCGAAATTTGATTTTTCGGCTCTTTGGTTTTTTTGTTTCAATGATAAAAATCTTTTTCAGTTTCCTGCTATGTTGGGGAATGATGCATGTGAGTCTGTAGAGCAGACGTAGAGCTTTCAAAAGCATATACATTTTATCTCAAATATAATCAATGTTGGCAAGAAAAAACTAAAAAAAATGGGACAGAACTTATTACACGACCTAATATAAAGCTGAATGTCTGTATGTCTGTCTGTATGTCTGTACGTAGTATGTGCGGAACAGAAATTTTTATTTCTGAACCGATTTGGACCAAACTTGGCACACATATACTTCGGGGCAGGGAGCGTGTCATAGGCTACTTTTCGTTATCGATCGATATCGATTTTATCGATTTTTTGCAAAATTTGAGCTACGGGGCTGGGAGTTGGCACAGAGGGGTAATCGAGCATGCTGATTACGAATATAATAATGACAGGGCCGGGCGGAGCCGGGTTTGCCAGCTAGTTCTACATAACAGGCTGTTGCATAAGTTCTGTCCGATTTTTTTGCCTTGTGTTTGAAGCAGCAGTTCTAGGAGGTTTTCAATCGTAATGCGATATTATTTGTACGTTAGTAAGCATTATTGCTCTTTCTAACACATATCATATTTCAATGACATCTCCATCTTCTTGCTAGTGAAATTTGTTTAAAGAATAATTATCTGTATATACAAGAGTTCTACAGGGTGGGGCAAAAGTCTGGGAGCCTAGTGCTTTTCCACATAAAATCAGAAGGAAAGTACCTAAAAACAATGAATTTGGTGCACATATAATTCGAACCTTTACAAATATAGCGCAGCTCTCAAATTTTGAGATTCCCTCGTTTGGGTTCAAAGCAGCCCTTCGAAATCTTTGCGATCCCCTCTCTCGTGGCACGCAGGCAGTCGTGGTAAAATTTGTCCCATGCCCTCACAATAACTGCTTTTTTCATTAGGCAAGTGTGCAGTATGATAGAGCAAGCTTTTGCTACAACATAGTATGAGGAAATTTTTTTTGCAATAATTAGGGAAAAGGTTTTGGAATTTTGAATAAAGGCAAGTGTACTCGCATACTGGAAATTTGGATGCGATTGCGCGAACGAGAGCAAAAAATCATAATATAAGAAGTATTGAAACTATTCCATCGATCGAATTTAGATAGATAATTATATAGAAGACTCGTGGAGAGTATATAGCTTAAAATTCAGTACCTGCTGCGCTCCTATAGCTTTCAAATTTCTTTCGAAGACGAATGGCCACTGGCACGCAGGTGATATTCGCAAATTTTTATTTTGCGTTTTGGAAAGAGTAGTTTTTGGCAAACGCAACTACTACGATCTGATAGCGCAAAGCCTCCTCTACCTCGCATCAAAGCGTTTCAGGATATTCAGTGTGGCTTTAGTTACGAAATAAATGTGAGGACTAGAATTTCTATTTTTCTCGCCCTGCAAAAACGTTTGTTTGATAAATCCAGTTTTTACAAAAACATATGGAAAGCATTTTCGGCTAGGTAAAGTGCGATTTGTAGAGGATGATCGCAGCATTATGTGGCACAAATTTGGAATCAAAATCATCGGTAGTTTCATAATTTAAAACACAACACTGCAAAGTCGGCCCTCAGACTTTTGCCCCACCCTGTACAAGCATCAACTTTCCGTGAATAGGGACAATCGATAAATCCAATGTTGGAGGTGCTAGAGTAACGCAAGGGCTAGCAGAGGCCATCCACCAGTTGCTTCTCATTCCTCTCGGCAAGCGTAAATTTTTCTATAATTTGAAGTTGGCGTACATAATTACATGTTTCGTTTTTGTTCGGTCAAAATCTCCGGGCACCGAAGATCCTATAGGCACTAAGCTATAGAATATTCAAAATTCGAAAAACTTCGAAATCTCCTCTACCTATCCATGGCTGCTAATTGTGCCTGTCTCCCATAAGGGAGCATTGCCATGTCAAAAAATACAGTTTTGAAGAAGATCGCTCAGTTTTTGAGTTCTTGCTTTTTCTTTAATAGGATTTTTCGCGAGAGCTACAATACCACCCGTAATTTGCGAAAAAAAATGGCGGCGGCACTTAACTTACGCGGCGCCGCCGAAGTTAGGTGACTTTTGCCGCGTCGCGCGACAAAAGTCGGCGGAAAAGCGGCAAAAGTCACCTAACTTTGTCGCGCAACGCCTAACTTTTTATAAAAAAAGACCTTATCTTGATTCAAAATTTATGAATTCTATATATAAGAGTACCATTCAACTCAGCTCGGCGAGGCGCATCTTCCAATATACGGATGTGCCTAGTTGTGGGATATAAGTTTCTTTCCTGGAATTTTAGTGTAAATGGACCATTCAGTGTGCTTATTCCAGAGGCTACGTACACATTCTATTGAGCACAGCAGAAATAGGGCAGGTATAGTTTAAGAGCTCATTCTGTATGGATATATGTGAAACTGGGCAGCTCATTCTGCATGGATATGTGTGAAAGTGGGCTTCTCTCGGCGAAGTATGACGGGTCCCAAAATGCAGGAAGAAAAAGGGAAATGGTTGGAAATCGCATGAGAAGCACATATCGCGGAATGCCGCGCGTGCTGTGCAATGTACAATACCACTCACAGAACGGGAATTGCGCGAAATTCCAGAAATTTCGCGATTCCGGATTATCGTAAATTATGCAGCGCCATAACTTCCTTCGGAATTAATATATTCTAAATTCGAAAGCAGCACTGTGTTCATCTCGTCAAGGCGAATCTTTCTACATACGTCATGTCATCTATATCTTGTTTTCAGTTTTCTCAAATTGTTCTGAGGAGGTCCCTTTGCAAGTATGTAACGCAGCGCCTATCCAATTTGAAAGCTTCCAGTATGCACCATTCGATAGTGCTCTTCTTGTGCATTATAGTGCGCTAGTAAGCTGCCGCAGGCTTCTTTTCAAAAGAGAAAAAAGCGTTGGTAAATTCTGGAAAAATCACTCGTTTCCAGATTCTACTCGCCGTAACTTTCTTTGGAGTGGATATTTTCTAAATCCGAAAAATGCATTGTGCTCAGCTCATCAAGGCAAATCTTTCGGTATGCGGAA